TTAAACTATAAATAAGAGAGATTGCTGTTTGATGGGACTAGCACCCGATTTTAAACAACACTTGCTTGGTGCACAAAAGTATCGCAATACTGACAATATATTGAGGATTTTTTAAATAATATCGCAATATTGAAATTTTCAAATACTGTCCAGCTCTAGAAAACAGGATTTATCTGTTCTGCTTAATTTCCACTAAATGAAGCCTGTTTGTTTTTTTATCTGGTATTATAAATATTTGTATCAAGATTATAAATATTTGTATATTATCATTCAAGTCTCTAATTGGTCCAAGCGATTCAGCTGAAGGAGAAATACAACTTACAATATCAATCAGATATGACTGAAAAGCACTTACTTTGGTGCCATGTGATGCATTGACTGTTATGGAGCATTTTGATCACATTATTGACGTCGATCACAGGATTTTAAAATTTTGGATTTAATTAAAATATTTTAATTAAAGAAAGTGTTATGGGTAGCTGCTACACTAGGGCTGTCCCCGAGGCAGAGATTTAGTGTATAGGGGTTTTCTCAGACCGGGGAATAATAAAGGCCTGATGGCGATGGCCTAGCAGAACTACTACCACTTCGGGTTCGCAGTTATGCTACGGGTCAAACGGCTAACTAATATTTTCATAAAATGACTACCAAACTTTTTCTTTTATCATTTAAAGGAACTAAATCGATAATATTTTGGACCTAGAAATTGACACAAATGGGTTGCCACACATATAATAATGTAATCTGAATGTATATAAACTGATTTACATTCAATCGTTTCCGTTTTTACTCTAATTTCAAATCTGCCAGAAGTCTCAATCAAATAGCAATCTCTAGCATCTGGTTATTCAAGTATATTGTGCATGCTCTCCAGATAAGAATATGGTGTCACTGCTTGACATGACTTCTGGAATGTCTAGCCTCATTCTTCTAGTCCCTTGTTACAAATGATGCTGAAACACACAAAATTTACATTACTAGGCCATATATGACGTAACTAAATTTTTCTAAGCGGGGAGAGGGGGGCTGGGGTATGGTATCTTTGTAAAGTTGAGGATCTTTAGTCATTTATTGCTTTGCCTTGTACAGGCGTTCACAGGGACTGACACGCGACTGTTTAGCAGATTCATCAGGGTGGTTCTTGAACGTGTTACCAACAATATTACGGTATATAGCCTACCGGAAAACTCTGAAAAACAATCGGAAAACACCATGTTATACCGAATACCAACGGAAAACACACTAAATACCAGAAAACACCCTAAATAGGCTGGTCCGCTGTATGCTGGGGGGTAGGGTTAGGTTTTTTCTGTATTCAGTATAACATTGTGTTTTCCGTAAATTTTAGTATAGCCCTGTGTTACAGGGCAAGTGTAATGAGACCAATGTTCAGAGCCGAACTATGTTTGTGTCAGACTTTTACCATGTGTGCTAAATAATGTTCTCTGGTTTTTTTTTAAGGAAGTGGATAAACGACCGGATTCGGTTCCTGACGAAAATTTACTAGGAAACCGGATATCGTCTCTGATTGGCCAATTTCATCACTTCCTTTTATTAAATGTCTTTTTTATGGATTAATGTGTGGTGATTGGTGTAATTTCATATTAGTTATACTTATGTAAAGTGTCCAAGAGTCAGGCATCGATATTTCCGCGCACATGCGCACGGCGTGCACAGGCACATTTGCTTTAAAAAACTTTTTTGCAGGCACATTTTTAAAATTTTTTACTGTCACATAAATCATGTAAAATAAAGAATACTATTTGTTTGTTTTTTTGTTTACTTTGATTACCGTATAATAATTTACTAGAATAAGCTAATCGATGATAAAAATATCAGCATGCGACGTTAGCGATTCCACCTGTGACTTATGACCTATCACCTGTGACCTCTGCTTAATTTAGTGACAATTCTAGTAGAATGCCAGTCGATGATTAAAAGAATAGCACGCGACGTATGAACTATCACCTGTGACCTCAGCGACCCCTAAACACCAGTACCGTGTAGTAATCACACTTACACCTGATAATTCTATAACGATGGCTTCCTATAGAGTATCAAGTGGAAAAAAGAACAAAGTCTCTTGCTGAGTTTGTGGTGATGTTATTTTATTTAGTTACGGTGCATGAATATCTTGTCATCGTCAAGGGAAACAACTCTTGTTAGTATCCAAACTATACTGGAAGTTAAGTTAAACGAATGAAATCCTGGCAAAGGGATTTAATGAACTTGTTTGAAGCCGGTAGGCATCTATTCTATGTTTATATCAACCCCAAACAACAATATGCACATCAAACATAATCTTTATTATTAAAGTAATCTATAATACATTAATACAATTTAAAATACAGATGTGACGTCACCCTTTGATGTTGGCGTACCATTATTTCAAATAATCGTACGGGCAACTTGCCAATCGTACCTTGTCAAATATTAGACTCGAGTGACGTATTTCACTGTAAACGCACGTGCGGAGTGTCTGTATTTTAAGATGTTTAATGGTCTCGAGCTGAGACATTGCGTAATATATTGTAAAAACACTCGGACCTGACGGTCCTCTTGTTGTTACAATATATTACTTAATGTCTCGCTCTCGACCATTAAACAATACTTAGAAACCATAATAAAAAAGGTACTAAAAATTTATTATAATTTCTTCTTCTACTGAGACCAAACCAAGAAGCTTTCGTAAGCCCCCCCCCACCCCACAATCATACTATATACCTGGCAATTGAATAATCTCCTTTTGAGTTAGTCCAGCTCTGAACGTAGGTCTCATTACAGTCGCCTCTACGTCCAGGGAAGCTAGCATAGAATCAATGTCGACCGCCCCAGTCAATTTTACTGGGCAACTTTTTACCGCTAAACGGTCGCGTGTCAGTCCCTGTGAATACCTGAACATCTTAGTGAGAAAATACGACCTTGCTTACCTCGCTAGATCCAGTATGAGCGACACAACAGGCTGTTAAAAAATACGTCTCCACCTATCAAGTTGCCTTTTCGCTGCCATTACACTCTAAATGTAGATCAACGTCCATATTTAGGAATGTCAGCCAAAAACACGACGAAACGAAATTTGGATAAAAATTAGAATCTTTGAAAAAAATTAGAATCTTCAGTCATTTATTGCTGTTGTAATATTAAAAGGTGGGAAAAGCAATAACAGGCTGTTGTGTCGCTCATACTGGATCTAGCGAGGTAAGCAAGGTCTTATTTTCTCACTACGATGTTCCTTTACATTGTTCAGTTATTCACAGGGACTGACACGCAACCGTTTAGCAGTAAAAAGTTGCCCAGTAAAATTGACTGGGGCGGTCAATTACTTTCGACATTGATTCAATGCTAGCTTCCCTGGACGTAGAGGCGAGTGTAATGAGACCTACGTTCAGAGTTGGACTACTTTTGAGTATGACCCTGTAGGCACATTTTCAAGTGTGTGCGCAGGCACACTCAACTTTTATAGAGCCCTGCCAAGGGCAGCTCGCTAAGTTGAATTGTCAGCGCTATATAAATACCGTATTATAAATTAATTATTATTATTATTTTTATTAGTTTTAGACTTAGCTACTTTAAAATATTGACGTGAAAGTGAAACCACCATTATGAAGGTTTCATTTATTTAACAACAATCTGCAGGTCTCTACTCTGTACTCAGTCAATGCCTGTTACTGATTTTCGTGTCAAGATTGGTGAAGTTCTGCTGACGTCATAAAAACATTTGATGATAACAAATTTCTCCCAACTCACCATTATTTTGTTAGCAACGTTTATTGGTTATTTATAGTTATTCAGATTGGTTGACGATTCTTGTTGGAACTGTTCCAATCGTACGAGCACCAAACAACCATCGATTACACCCCCCACCACACCATTCCACTGACCGTTATTTTTATTTCCATTTCCGGTACAGCAGAGATGGTTGTATATAGATTTCAGACCAGGACCCATCAACACGAAAAACTCATTAACGTGGAATCCCTGTGTACTGATTTTATCTGATTAGTTTTAATCATGATAAAAACATGTCTACAGGAGGTGATAATTTTTGACATGCAAATGAATGTCTAGTTTCATCCCTTCAGCATCTTTTTATACCCCTAATGGCTGAACAGTGGTCCTGCCATAGGAGTACATTTACTAATCTCAAATAAATTTCAAGCATGCATGTGCTTTAGAACATCAGATCTGATCCATTATTCGGTCAAGTGGTGTGGTTTTGATTCCCAACTTGTATGTGAAAAGCAGCAGGGTCATCTGTCCAACCTCATGGGTTTTTTCAATTTCCTTTCACTGCTAAAAAATTTGCAAGTGAATCTTGAAATAAAAACATATCTTAGTCCCTAAATAACCTAGTCTGTGTTGAGTGAATGGAATATGGATGAATGTCATGTATGTCATAACAGTCATATGACTAGATCTATTTGATAAGGCCAACTGCATATTTCCTCAAAGTCACAAGATGTAAACAGGCTTAGGACTTGTGATCGTTTCCGAGAATTGTGAGTAAGGTTTAGGGTAAGAAGTCTTGGGTTAGGTTTAGGGTAAGAAGTCTTGGGTTAGGGTCAGCACCAGCACATCTTGAGGAAATTATGCAGTTTTGGAGGTATGGGGTTCGATATTGGTCTTGGCCGAGAATGTTGACAAGAGATTTTCAGCTTTATTTCCCCATGTCTGTCGTGAAGGATGATGGACCTCACAAGTTACAGTGTTTTGTCTGTCGTTAAGGATGGTGGGCCTCGCAAGGAACAGAGAGAGAGAGAGAGAGAGAGAGAGAGAGAGCATCCTCGGTTACCCAGTGTACTCATTCCGTCCTACTCCACTATACCCTGGGTTAATCCATAGGGTTTCCACGAATTCAAATTATCTGCCCTGGCCTAGAATGTAGCTACAGTCTACAAACCAATCAGAAAACAGTTTACAAACCAATCGTTTCGCCTTCGTTTTTGTAAGGGTAGATAACCAAATTCATGTCCATTTACTGAATGATTTATGAAATAATGTATATATTTATAATTTATTTATATTTAATTGTATTATCAAAATCTGTAGTATGTGTTGATGATTTCAAATATGTATAACATCTATATGTTTGACTTTTGTTATTATTATTACTATTCGTTCTTTGTCTGAAATATGTCATTCTGTTATGTTTATTATTATTGAACTTATAATTGGCAATTTGATTCACAATAACTTGTCAACGATATCACATGGACATAAAATTCCGGGAACGAATGAACGATTCTAAATAAAACTAATGACCCTACATTGTTATATGAATGTCCGGTCTTCATTAACATAATATATAATTGGTTGTTAATAATTACGCATTTAGAATAGGCCAACTCCTAACATTGTCCGATGAGAGTTACTTCCATTTGCCAACTTCCTTTTCAAATAACAATTGATGGGATTGGTCGATAAAAATAACAAATTCATCAAGGGCGGATAACTTGAAAACGTGTCTCCTCCATAGATTAACCCAGGGTATAGTGGAGTAGAACGGAATGAGTACACTGGGTAACCGAGGATGGAGAGAGAGAGACATGGGGTTTAACGTCCACCTGACACAAACTAGGTCATTTTGGGACTAACATGGTTTAATTTTATTTCAATAATTTGCTTGCGCGTAGGGGTCTTTAGCAGTTGACTCAATGACAGACCTTATGATACAGTGTGCACGTGTTAACCATTCGGCTATCCACCCCCCTGGACATCAAGCACACTGTATGAAGCAAGCTCATCTTCATTATCTCATTTTATTTCATCAGTCTGACACATAAAAAAAATATTCATATTTTTGTAAAGGCTGGAGGGAGCCACGCTGGCTAAGCGGGTAAGACGCTGGCTCGCTAACCTGGAGGTTGTGTGTTCGATCCGTGCATTGGCCAAGTAAGTTCATCAGGATTTTCTGACGTGGTTTTTCCCTTGTCAGTGGTGCCAGGACGGAGGGTCTGACAAGGACAGCTGTCTAGTAGTTCGGAGGGAACGAAAAAAAAAATGAGGCCCCGTGTATATATTGGCATGCATGTAAAAGATCCCTTGGCAGTTGGAAATCGAGATAAGAGTAGGCCATAGCGCCGCTACCCGGGCAAAATTTCCCTCATGGTACACTGTATGGCGCATGCCCGTCTTCATTAACCCAGTCAGAGCAGAACAGTAGGACGTAAAACTCCATTTCATTTCATTTGTAATGGCTGGGACAAAGAAAATTTATTACCACTAAACAAATTTCATGACCATCATAACTATATAATATAACAATATGTTATAAGGAATATTAATAATGTGCATAAGATAATACATACATATATGGTAATGCTAGAACTAATGAATATTAATGATGTGTATAAGATTATACATTTATGGTAATGTTGGAACTTATGAATATTAATAATGTGTATAAGATAATACATGTACATATAATGTCCTGATGGAACTCATGAATATTAATAATGTGTATGATATTAAACATACATATATGGTAATGCTGGAACTAATGAATATTAATGATGTGTATAAGATAATACATATATGGTAATGCTGGAACTAATGAATATTAATGATGTGTATAAGATAATACATATATGGTAATGCTGGAACTAATGAATATTAATGATGTGTATAAGATACATGTAATACATATAATGTACTGATGGCGCTAATGAACATTAACCCATTTTTGATCACAGTGAATCCGTTCGCACCCATCATTTGACGGTAGCGAATCAACTCGCATTAGCGAACAAAAGCGCCAGATCAATCAACAGATTTCTATTGTTTTTATTCCATAAATTAATGGTGATTGAGTAATAAAAATAAAACACCCAATGAAAAGGAATGTTATATTCGCTAATTATCGAATAGAAAACATACGTTTCAACAAAGGATCTTTCAGTATTTACGTAATAGGTCAGAGGTGAAAATTCACACCGTGTCAATGACTTTGGCATTATTCCAATATTTTCACGTTGTCACTTATGGCTAATAATTTTAAGATATGAAGAGTGAAATGGAATCAGATTTTTTATGATTTACTGCCAGGCATATCGTAGAATATGATAATGTCGAAGAAATCAACTATTTGTTATTTTTTTTGACGTGATGATGTGAAGAATGTGTATACTCGAGCCGAGATCAAGCGTGTCGCCGCCATCTTGGATACGCTTTCTGACAGACGATAACACAAAACTTACGGCTAATAATTCTAGACTTTGGAAAACTAAATTGAATCAAAACTTTTGGGATTTAATACAAGCTACATAAAGGAATATTACATTGTCGAAGATTTCAACTATATATTTTTATTTTCGACGCAATAAAGCAAAGAAGACGACCATTCCCGTCATACATGTATATCCAAAGAAAGGCAGAAATGTTAAAATGCCGATAGCGATGAGGTGACCAAGTGACCGTCACTTGGGGTGATATTTCTTTTTCAAAGTTATATTTATATTTACTATTGTTACGAGGAGTTTGAGCCAAGTTTAGAAACGAATTCCAAAATGGCTGCCAATCTCCCCTACACTAGCTTTGAAAAAGGAGCAGTATTTTCAACTTTTTCAGAACTGAAGACAGCAATTAAGAGATGGGAAGGGTTAGGATTAGGACTATTTTTACGAATATTCAGTTTTTAACTTCTCCGATGGAGGGCTGTGAAAGCATCGTCGTAACAATAGCCTAAGGACTAATTTTACGATTTGTCGTAACAATAGCCACTGCCTTACTTTAAACACTGCTGCCAACGTGAGGGACTATATTTGTCTTCTATTTTCAAAAAAAAAAAAATATTAGGGGATACTTGTTCATGTTATTTTACCATTATGACAGAGTAAAGTCATAATTTTAGTGGAACTGACTTTTCAATGTTATTTATAGTAATATAATTTCTACTTTGTACAATTGAATTTTATATCATTGGAAAGAACACGACAATCTGTACATTTTTGTAACAGAGCATTTCTGTGTATAGAAAATATTTTTTTAGTTACATGTATTTGCAATTTTGTAGTGGATTTTAGGATTAACAATAATCCCCTAATTGGCTTAGGGAGATTGGCCCCGCTGATTTAATTGGCTTAGGGGTAGGGTAGCTAATCTTTTAATTGGCTCAGGGTTAGATGGGATAAATTGTCTTTATTATAGTAACACAATTATAAGGTATGGAGCAGAATTGTTGTCACATTAAACATACATTTCAATACATACAACTAGACCTGAATATCCCAGTCCCTGAAATTATTCGCCTGTCCAACTTTTTTGGGTTTTCTCCGGGTCCTCCGGTTTCCTCCCACTGCTAAAGGTATGGAGCAGAATTGTTGTCACATTAAACATACATTTCAATACATACAACTAGACCTGAATATCCCAGTTCCTGAAATTATTCGCCTGTCCAACTTCGTGGGTTTTCTCCGGGTCCTCCGGTTTCCTCCCACTGCTAAAGACCCCTACGCGCAAGCGAATTATTGAAATAAAATTGAACCATATGTTAGTCCCGAAATGACCTGGTTTGTGTCGAGTGGATGTTAAACCCCATTTCTCTCTCTCCCTGAAATTATATAAATATGCAGCTAGACCCACATGGTAATATTCACAGCTAGGTCCAATATACCAGTCTCTGACAGATTTACAACAAACATCACATTTGAAAGTTTTTTTTTCTCTTGTATAAACTTGAATGTAACTTTGTAGACCGCAAGTTTGACTAAATGATTTACAACAAACATCACATTTATATGTTTTTTTCTTGGGTATGTGTTCTTGTATGTCTTTGTAGTTCAGCTGGCCTAGAAAATGATTTACTACAAACATAACAATAAAACGGTTTTTGTCCACTATGATTTCTGATGTGAGTCTGTAGTGTTCCACTCTGACTAAATGATTTACTACAAACATCACATTTATAAGGTTTGTCACCAGTATGAATTCTCATGTGTGACTGTAGAGTTCCACTCTGTGTGAAAGATTTACTACAAGTATCACATTTATAAGGCTTCTCACCACTATGAATTCTTGTGTGTTTTTGTAGATGAGAATGCTGTGTAAATGATTTACTACAAACATCACATTTATAAGGTTTTACGCCAGAATGAATTCTCATGTGAATCTGAAGATCACTAATCTGAACGAAGGATTTTCCACAAGTATCACATTCAAAAGGTTTATCACCAGTATGAATTCTTGTGTGTTTTTGTAGATGAGAATTCTGAGTAAACGATTTACTACAAACATTACATTTATAAGGTTTTATTCCAGAATGAATTCTCATGTGGTACTGCAAAGTATCATTCTGAGTAAATGATTTTCCACAAGTATCACATTTAAAAAGTTTTTCACCTGTATGAATTCTTGTGTGTTTTTGTAAATTACAATTCTGAGTAAATGATTTACTACAAACATCACATTTATATGGCTTTTGACCAGTTTGAGTACTTGTATCTGCTTGAAGTTGGTCTTTCCAGCCAAAACGCTTCTCCCAAATTTTACCATGTTGTAAAACAGAATCCTCTTCTTCAACATGTATTTCACAGTGTTTTTCTAAATCAGTTTCTAATCTAAATTCTTTATGGCACAATTTACACTGATAAACAGTTTCAATATCATCAGTTTTCTCTTCTTTAACATGACAATATTCATCTACATCATCAGTTTTCTCTTCTTTAACATGACAATATTCATTTACATTATCAGTTTTCTCTGCTTCAACATTAAATTGAACATGACAATATTCATCTACGTCATCATTTTTCTCTTCTTTAACATGCATTTTATTGTGTTTTTCTAAATCATCATATTGTTGGAAAATCTCATCGCATACACCACACTGATGGAGTGTTTTAATATCATTAGTATCCTGTAATATATAAAAGTTGTAACATCATTAGTTTCCTGTAATATATAAAAGTTATAACATCATTCATTTCCTGTAATATATAAAAGTTATAATATCATTAGTTTCCTGTAATATATAAAATTTATAGCATCATTAGTTTCCTGAAATATATAAAAGTTATAACATCATTAGTTTCCTGAAATATATAAAAGTTATATCATCATTAGTTTCCTGTAATATATAAAAGTTATATCATTATTAGTTTCCTGTAATATATAAAAGTTATAACATCATTAGTTCCCTGAAATATATAAAAGTTATAACATCATTAGACCTGAAATGTTATATAATCTATTAATTAGACATTTATTAACAAAACAAGACCATAATCAACGCTCTATGGCATCGGATGCTCAAGATTTTAACTAGATTGGAACGGTTCGCCATTTAAAAATTTGATTTAAAAATGGGAAAGCGAGGCGAAGGCTCGAATATACCTGTGCCCTGGTTACCACAATGTACAATGCATGTGATTTGATGTTAACTGACTTTCGTTCGTTGGTTCGTTTCTGGAGTTTAACGTCCACTTCTATATAAACTGTAACAGCAAACCTGGCTTCATTTATTAGCTGTACGGGCAAAAGGAGTAAGAAAAAGATAAAACAGACGTCATAATCCAATAATCCCAAACAAATCGAACGAGTATTATTCTAGTGTACACCATTTTGAATATATAGAAACCGTCAAAAAAGCCACCGATTCGTATTTGTAAACAAATAATTAAATCTTTTGTCTCTTAATTATTACTACTCTTACTGTAAATACTAATCCGAGATTGATCAAGAGACAAAGGATTGGTACCTAATTTATTGATAACTGACTCAGCCAAGCGCAATAGACTGTAACGTGTGTGCACAGCATGGAAACCAAAGCTTTGTGGCAAGAAAATTTTATTGCCACGGTTAAAAAAGAATCGCCACACTGGAAAAAGTTATCGCCAAAAATTTTGCCAGATTAAATATTTTATCGCCAAAATTATATTTTTATCGCAATTGGCGTAATTGTCGATCGACAGCGTAAGCGCTGAATACCATGATCTATGACAATTACAGTCGTAGGAAACAGGATTTATCTGTTTTGATGAAATACTAATCCGAGATTGATCAAGAGACAAAGGATTGGTACCTAATTTATTGATAACTGACTCAGCCAAGCGCAATAGACTGTAACGTGTGTGCACAGCATGGAAACCAAAGCTTTGTGGCAAGAAAATTTTATTGCCACGGTTAAAAAAGAATCGCCACACTGGAAAAAGTTATCGCCAAAAATTTTGCCAGATTAAATATTTTATCGCCAAAATTATATTTTTATCGCAATTGGCGTAATTGTCGATCGACAGCGTAAGCGCTGAATACCACGATCTATGACAATTACAGTCGTAGGAAACAGGATTTATCTGTTTTGATGAAATAAAGCCTTTTTGGTAGCTGATACACAAGGGACGTCCCAAGGCTGAAATTTGGTGTAAAGGGGTATCTTGGACCCCTATTATGAAGGTTTCATTTATTTGTCAACAATCAGCTTGGCTTTACTCGGTCAATTGGTGAACTGACCTAAAATCTAAAATCATAACGCCAATTTACAAACAATACGAATATACAGCGGTGAACTAATCTTGATTGTGATCGGTAATCAACAAAAATCAACGAGTAAAACTTATTTATTTCATACATTTAAATTGTGTACGAGCCAATTACTGTCTGAACCATCGTAAATTTTAAATTGATTTCTTCGAATGTGAACAAACTTTTTAACTTTTGTTATTATAAACTTATCTGTATGTTTGAAATCAACTCCCATTAAATAAAATCCATTGCATAACTAAATATCCCAAAGAATACAAAAGTTCTCTCTTCAAAAATTGGACTATTTACTTGTAATTAAGACTGAGTGTAAGGCAACAATGCTTTCATCACGTGTTGGGCGAAACCAATGCAGCTGTTGCAGGGGTGGTTTACTTTTGACGAATACATGTGTTGGAATCAAAACAAAGCGCGATCATTACGATCGTTTGAGTTTGGGCAACGAAAAATATCAACTGAAGGCAATTACAGAGGAGATCTGTATTGAAACCATTGATTGCCAGTCTGTCAAATTTTATTCACAATTCCACTGATTCCATGGATACTCGTAAAATAAAGTCTAAAAGTCATGTATAAATTAAAAATTTCCTATTTTCTTCATGTTATAAATAATTTAACAAGGATCATAAAGCTCACCTCCGAAGTGTCCAAGTGTATTGTTAATTTGATAGCATTCTTTCGATCAAATAACCGCTTCAATAACATCTATAAGCGTGTTGCTTCAGCCCTCAAAGTGCCTATATTAGGTGGGTTTATAATGCCTATAAGCCTGTAAGACCCCATAAGAAGAGTAACATTAATTCACGTTTCCATATGACGCTGAAAGACATTATGGCACAAGATTTGTGTACAAATGGTAAAATGTTTATTTTGTCTTAAATATTGGATATCATAAGCCTACCTATCTTCCTGGTAAGATCACGACATCAATGTTGATTTAAATTGACAAATAATTTGTGTTTTCAACGTGTAAGACTTTGGATGATAGGCTATTGAGTTAGAGACTTAGCTACTTTAAGTAGTTTGTTCATAATCAAAAAAATCGTTTAAAATTTACGATGGTTCAGTCAGTAAGTAAGAATTAGTTGTGGACGACTTTGCTTGTGGACGAGTTAACTGACAACCGTCATGATAACAAATTTCTCTGTAAAATCAACTCACCATTTATTTAAAGTTATTCAGATTGGTTGACGATTCTTGGAACTGTTCCGATATCGTAGGAGCACCAAACAACCACTGATTACACCCACAACAGCGTTCCAGTGAGACAAGTTTAGATCAGATTTTTAGACCTTTGACCGTGATTCTATCTCTATTTCCGGTACAGCAGAGATGGTTGTATATAGATTTCAGACGAGGGCCACTCAACACGAAAAACTCATTAACGTGGAATGCATGTGTACTGATTTTATCGGATTTGTTTTAATCATAATTAAGAACGTATCACAGGGGGTTATAATTTTTGATATGCAATGGAATGCCTAGTTTCATCTCTTCAGTATCTTTTATACCTGTATTGGCTGAACAGTGGCCCTGCCATAGGAGTACGTTTATATATAGGACATCATTTTTTTACCTGCTCTGGACGTTTCCAATAGCAACACAGATAATGAATAAATTCCAGGCATGCATGCACTTTAGTCAAGTGGTGTGGTTGCCTGGTTTCCATTCCAGACGTATGTGACAAGGAACAGGGTCGCCTCTCCAACCTTGTGGGCTTTCTCCAATTTCCCTGCTACCCCTACTGCTAAAAACCATGGGCTTGTAAACCGAGAGCTTAGTGGAGTAGATACTGAGGATGATATTTGCCACAAAAATTTGCCACAAAATGATCAAATTAAAATTTCCGTCCTAAGCCAGTGCCAACTATACATGTCCAGTAAAGAAGATTATGAGGCTGAGAAAGTTCACACTGTATGACGTACGCCCGTCTTTATTAGCCCAGTCAGAGCAGAAAAGTAGGACGTTAAATCCGGTTTCATCAGACTGACAGACAAAAAATTATTTATATATTTGTAATGGCTGGGACCAATAAAATTTATTACCACTAAACAAGTTCTTGTTTGTTTGTTGTTTATTAAAAATTTAACGTCCAATAGATTATGAGATGATATTAAAGGCAGGTTGATTTAATCAAGTTTTATTTACATATCAAGGCGTAATATAGAAAAATGTGATAAAAACCTAAAAAAGATAGGTTGCCAGGCAACGAAACATACACCCACAGCAGCTAAATCGTCCACGCGGTCAATAAGGGTTGACACATATTTATTCTTTTTCAGGTAATTGGGGGCATTTACAAGACAATTTCATACAGATCAGATTATAATTTTTGTCGTTTGAGGGTTCACAAGGTTCTACAAACTGAAACAACGGCCTTAACTCTGGAAGTAATTTACCGACAATTCTGAAATTTCACAGGCTTTTTCGTTTTACTAATTTAAATAATGCATATAAATTTCATACAGATCGGATGGTAACTTTTGTCATTCGAACATTTACAACGTTCACAAAGTAAAACAAGGGCCATAACTCTAGAATAATTGACGGAAATAGCTAAATTCAATAGACATCCATTTCACAAAATTAAATGATGCATATAAATTTCATACATATTAGATGATAACTTTCATCAATCGAGCATTAACAAGGTTAATAACTCTAGTAGTAATTATTGTAAATTGCTGAAATTCAATAGGTTTTGTGGTTTCATTAATCTAAATGATGTATATCAATTTCATACAGATCAGATGATAATATTTAGCGTTAGAGTGTTCACATGGTTTAAGAAAGTGAAAAAAGGGTCATAACTCTAGACATAATAAACGGAAATTGCTGAATTCAGTAGGATTCTTCTTTTTACTAATTTAAATGACGCATATAAATTTCATACAGATTGGCTGTTAACTTTAAATGTTAGAGCGTTCACAAGGTGCAACAAAGTTAAACAAGGGCCGTAACTCTAGAAGGGAAATTGCTGAAATTCAATAGGATTCTTCTTTTCACTAATTCAAATAATGCGTATAAATTTCACAAAGATGATAACTTTTGGTGTTAGAGCGTTCACAAGGTTCAATAAAGTGAAACAAGGGCCATAACTCTAGACGTAATAAACAGAAATTGCTGACATTTAATAGGATTCTTCATCTCAACAACATATATCAATTTTAAAACAATTGATTCATAACTTTTGGAGTTGAGTGTTCACAAGAAATTGTGGACAACGGACGGACGGGGACGACGGCAATATATGTTCACATTTCCATGTGGGCGTGTAAAAAGACATGATCTTGTATATCAAAATGTCACTTTAAAACACAGTGTTGAAATTCACTGAGAACAGAGTGTGGGTCACAAATCTTTTACTGTTATTGTACTCAACCAGTAAATTACTGAAATGTATATGATCGGTCATCTCAAATAATATCAGATTTTAATGTAACAATATCATCATGTCATATAGTCATAATATCACATCTTAATGTAACAATATCATCAACAGGGGTCTCGACAACCGGGTTTGCATCGCACTTTGCGGATCGATTCTTGCCCGTTGCTAATCAATTTGCCACAAAATAGATAACTTGATTCGCACAAATGCTAATCATAAATATTGATTCTTTTATTTCTCACATGGACAATTTTATGTCACTGTAAAGAGTTGTGGATAGTTTTTATAACGATTTTTCAACATTTCTTCGCCAGTTTAGTCACGATCATCTAGAATCTAATATCTATTACTGGTAAAAGCAAAGTTTTAGCGCCCCCTATATGCGCGGAGTTACATCCCCCTGATTGTTTTTTTTTTTTAATGACAGCCGTTTTTTTTTGGATAAAATAAAAATAATCCATTGATTTTCTTCACAAAATGGGATAGATATTATGGAATATATAACAAAGATAGGCACCAGTATTAATGCGGATACTAAATGACGAATTTATAACGGATATTGGCAGCAGGGAATTTTCCATCGACAACAGCGATCTTCGTAGTTGTACTAAAGTTGTAGGCTAATGTCTGTCAATTTTTCCGATGTATGACCGATGCATCGCATGTATCGATGTTAGATCCTGATGCATCGACACGTAAAATATTATTTGATTGATATCAGCACTGACGAGTGAATGGCTGTTACGTCAACAAATGACATGGTTGTGAATATTGAATGTTCAAAAGACGAATCAACCCAGAAATGTCATCAAAATTATTCCGATAGGCCTACTACGTGTCATGAGAGAAGATACACAGCAATGAGCAGACATTAAAATATTTTTAACAATAATTTTGAAATAGTGGGACTGAATAAACCTTTGCATAATATTGCAAAATTCAACAGATAGATTTTACTTCACAGTTTTCCGAAATTGTAGTCAATGGATATTCACACACTGCTAATCAAAACTGGACATTGCTAATCAATTTGCCTGAATTTATCTAACCTGATTAGCAGTTTTAGGAAGGGCATTTGCTCCTGGTGCCCACCCTCCCTTGGATCAGTGCCTGTTGTGGCGTCCCATAGCCTCCACATAAGTGATATAAGAAAGCTTCTATCAAGGCAAACGAACCAGGCGCCCAGACCTGTCATTGAGTCAACTGGCGTGGTTTCAAATCACTAGTTGTACGTGACAAGGAGTAGGGTCGCCTGTCCAACCTCGTCGGTTTTCTCTGGGTTCCCCAATTTCCTCCCATTGTTAAAGACCCCTCCGCACAAGCAAAATATTGAAATAAAAGTAAACCATGTTAGTCCCGAAATGACCTAGTTTGTGTCGAGTGGAGGTTAAACTCCATTTCTCTCTCTCTCTCTCGCACCAGAAAGAGTTAACATGTGTCTTTGTTGTGTCTGAGAAAATGATTTACAACAAATAAAGCTTGTCTCTGGTATGAATTCTCATGTGTGTTTGGAGATGACATTCTGCAAAATATGATTTACTACAAACATCACATCTAAAAAGTTTTTCTCCATTATGGATTGTCATGTGACTCTGTAGACCACTACTCTGCTTATTTCCTTCAGTATGAACTGTCATGTGTGTTTGGAGCTCAGATTCTGTAAAATATGATTTACTACAAACATCGCATTTATACAGCTTCTCTCTGGAATGAGTTCTCATGTGACTCTGTAGATTAGTTTTCCTACTAACTGATTTACTACAAACATCACATTTATAAGGTGTTTCTCTTGTATGAATTCTGGTGTGCTTGTTTAGAGTACTATTATCTCTGAATGGTTTACTACAAACATCACATTTAAATGTTTTTTTTACAGTGTGAATTCTCATGTGTTGCTTTAGATCACTATTATCTCTGAATGATTTACTACAAACATCACATTTAAAGGGGTTTTTTCCAGGGTGAACTCTCATGTGTTGCTTTAGAATACTAATATGTCTGTATGATTTACTACAAACATCACATTTAAAAGTTTTTTTCCCAGTATGACTTCTCATGTGTTGCTTTAGGACACTAATATATCTGAATGATTTACTACAAACTGCACAGTTTGTTTGATTCTGTATCTCTGTTTCATTGCACTTCCTAAAACTTTTCTCCCAATTTTTACCACGTTGTAAAGCAGAATCCTCTTCTTTAACATGTATTTCACAGTGTTTTTCTAAATCAGTTTCTAAATTAAATTCTTCATCACACAAATTACACTGATAAACAGTTTCAATATCTTCAGTTTTCTCTTCTTTAACATGACAATATTCATCTATATCATCTGTTTTCTCTTCTTTAACATGATAATATTCATCTACGTCACCAGTTTTCTCTTCTTTAACATGACAATATTCATCTACATCATCAGTTTTCTCTTCTTTAACATGACAATATTCATCTACATCATCGGTTTTCTCTTCTTTAACATGTATTTTAATATGTTTTTCGAAATGATCATATTGCTTGAAAATCTCATCACATACACCACACTGGTGAAAAGTTATAACATCATTAGTTTCCTGTAATATATAAAAGTTATAACATCATTAGTTTCCTGTAATGTATAAAAGTTATATCATCATTAGTTTCCTGTAATATATAAAAGCTATAACGTCATTAGTTTCTTGTAATATATAAAAGTTATATCATTAGTTTCCTGTAATATATAAAAATTATATCATCATTAGTATCCTGTAATATATAAAAGTTATAACATCATTAGTTTCCTGTAATATATAAAAGATATAACATCATTAGTTTCCTGTAATATATAAAAAAAGTCGAAAAATCGTGAAATTTTGCAAAATGCTCTATTACTTTATTATTTAAACAAATTTTTACAAAAAGATTACAGATTCGGATAGCTGACCTAATTA